AAGCACAAGCTGTGATGACTCCATCAAAGTACTGCCACTCTGCAGGATATGTTTAAGGAGCCTCTCCCTTGGACATCTTTAAAAACTATAACATAAGTAAACTTACAGATAATTTAATTCAATTCTCTTATTTTACAGAAAAGGAGATTGATTCCCAGAACCTGAATGACAGTGCTAACCAACTAGAAGCAACAGTGGGACGAGACAACAGTTTTCCTTCTACTATACAACCTTGCTTTCATCAGCAAGGGCAGCGTCTGAGGAGAATTCGGCTGGGGAAGGCAGATGGGTCCTGGTTACTGAAAGGGGGTTACGTGAGCCTAGCATATCATTAAAGGGGAAAAGGACGCCAGTGTTCACTGAGCACTTACTGTGTGCCTGGCGCCGTTTTAAGGACTTCACTCCCATTACTCATTTAGTCCTCACAGCAATCCTGTGAAGTTGCTAATAATATTACTGTTTTATAAATGAGGAAACAGAGCCTAGAAGAAACAAATTTCTGCAGCTACTAAGAAGCAGATCTGAAATTCAAACACCAGTCTATTTATCCAAACCTATAACTTTAATTTTCCTCCTATTTTACATAGTTAGACCTGATAAATTCCTCTATAAATACCCAAGGAGTGTCAGAGTAGAAGAACTTCAACCACAATACGACTTTTTTTTTAAAAAAAAACGTCTTCTATAAGGTATGAACCCACCTTTTAAGCTCTGAGTACCGAAAATTGCCATAACATTTCAGTGAGGAATATATCAATGCAATAATTCCTTAATGCTTGTGAGAGGATTATGACAATATCTTGTAATGATTTATCCTTAATTATAATTGTAGATTTCTAGTCTTATTAAAAAAATGCTGCCTTCCTACAAAAAATACTGGAGGCTGAGTTAGTTTCTTAAGTGGAATATTCTGCTTTAAATTTTCCCGTTAAGAAACTAAACTTTGAAGTGAGTGTGGGAAAGTCAGAGACGCAAAAATTATATTGCAAGAGATTCTCCTTTTCCTATCCTTCAAAATCTCTTTTTCAAGAAGAGCAAACTGCAGCGTCAAAATGAGGAAGAAGGATAGCTAACTTCTATATAAATCTCCAGGAGCAGTGTCAACTGAGGCGGGGAGTCAGACAGCTGCCAACAAGCAAGAATAATCATTATTTTGCTATATATTCTAATACTAAATCAAATGCCGATTCAAACTAACTTCAAATGATTTAAGGGAATTTGTCAGATTCCTTTGACCAATGAGTTGGAAAGATTTTCATTTACTGTTTTCTTTAGTTGATGGGCTTATTAGTAACTTAAGCTACTAAGACACATTAATTCCAAGCACTTAAGGAAGAGACTGACTGTGTAAAGTTTAAATACAAGTGAAAAATTGGGGGCCTGAGGCTCAAATCCAACTCACTGAGGTGTTTTGCTTGGATCCTACAGGCATTTTATTTTAATGTGTGAGCCAACATTTTAAAAAGATTAAAAAAAAAATCACATTTAGAACATCCAGATTTTTGAGCCTCTTAAGAAAAGGAAGATTTGGCAGCGACAGGCTCACATTCCCATATGGCCACAATCTGCTGAAGCTGAGTGTCAGCTGCCCCTTTAGAGCGGTGTGGTCACAGATCCACCGTTCCTGGCAGTCCACCTCACTCCTTATCTTTTCCATCCCTGGAGGCATCTGAGTTTGTGACCCCTACTTTAAAGGAAATGAAGAGGGAGAATGCAGGAATTAAAGGCAAAAAAGGAAAAAAACGAAAAAATAAAGAGAAGACACAGTCCATATCACTTGGGGAAAATGTCAGTGTACCAGACAGCAAAAAAGTGTTTCTCAACACAGTAAGTCACAGTACTTTGGTTCACTAGATAAGAACTGGCTTGTGAGAAGGAGAAATTAAAATGTGACGTTAATCCTTCAGCATAAATGTTGCCCTAATGAAGCACTTTCAGTATTCCGGCCCACGCTGAGATTCTAGGGGACTATTTCAGAAGAACTCTTCAAATCCTTCTACTGCTTCTAATATTTATGCTGAGTTTATCCAGGAGAAAAAGAGGACACAGCTTTCTTGGTTTGTCTAACACCTCAGCATATTCTTTCCAATAATTAGATCCTTGTCTTTATCAGTAACTATGGCTCAGCTCACACTCAAAGGCAAAACAAAATACTTGACCAGGATCAGAAATACGGTCACGATGCAGGAAATAATGAAATACTGTCTTTCCAAATTATTCTCCTTGCTCCTCTACCAAGTGCTTTCAATGGTTTCTGATTTTTGCCCACGAGGGTGAGATAGCAAATTCGAGGTTTTATTTCAACTAGCACGTTTTTTTTTTTTTTTTTAAAGATTTTTTTTTTTCTTTTTCCCCCAAAGCCCCCCGGACATATGGATTGGGTGAGATCAGTCTGAGAAGCATTCCCGAGGTTTTATTTCAACCTAGCACTTTTTTTTTTAAAAAGGGAGATTTCCTAAGTATCTTACGAAATAACTTTTTCAGCCCCTCCCTAGCCCTCTGTTCCTTCAAGTTCCTCATCTTTCTCCCTAGTGTACAATGGCATTTCTTTTGTGAGCTAGTTATCTTGTTGTATTTTACACAGAATGGGAGGCTAAAGGAAAACTGCCAAGAACTTTACTCAAGGTCACGAAGAAAAGGCAAAATACGGATGTGGAATTTCCTAAGACTTGGCCCAGGGTTTGAGAGTCAGGAAACTGTGACCTTTGAACATCATTTCTGGTGTGCCAAAATTATTTGTGGCAGAATATTATAAAGGGTGTAAACTTAAAAGGAGGAAGTAAAGGAACCCAGGGCATACGTGTTCCACAGGCAAAGAAAACAAAGTCCTGAGGTTTCTAAGGAGGGAGATACTCTCAGAGAACTGGATCCATGTGGTCCAGTGGGCACATGGGAGACAGAAAGAAAAGGGGAAGGAGGTACAGCAATGGGCAGGAGGAAAGGGAGCTGAGAACAAGAATGCAAGTGAGGAGGGGAGGGGACCCTGTATTAAGTGGTAGGGCAGTGAGATCAAGGAAGCCATTCATGTACACACAGAACACTCAGACGAGTGTGTGTCCAGAAAATGTTTCCTAACGTGAAGCCACACAGACACCACATCCCCAGTGAAGGAAACAGAGACATAAAGAAGATCCATAAAACACAGGAGAAAACGTGCAGTTAAACATACTTCCTCCTCCCCTCACATGAGAGGGGCTCACACGCACACAACAAGAGGTGGCCCAGCACAGTGGTTAAGAGCACGGACTCTGGACTAGACCAGCCCAACTGCCTAAGTTTGAATCCAGATCCTGCCGCTCACTAGTTGGCTGACCTTGAGCAAGTTACTTAACCTATTTGTGCCTGTTTTCTCTTCTGTAAAATGATAACGTTAAAGAAGTAAATGAATTAAAACATTGAGAATAGTGTCTGGCACACACAAAGCGCTACATAAATTAAACAAATAACATGTATACAAAGGAAGGCATAGAGGAGACCCACATGCTCAAACTCTGAAACAGTTACAGTATAAAAGCATATTCTCTTTGCTATATGTACATATTCTTGTAGAAACAATAGCCACAAAAAAATAAGACAATCTAAAGTTTAGATAACCAGATGGCTAACAAATCACTGACCTAGAGGGAAAGAGAACTCAGTGGCAAGGTAGCTGGCAAAGAGTGGATTGGGTAGGAGTGTGTGGAAGATGCGCCACTTAAGAAGGCACAGGACGAGTTTTGACTCTGGACTCTGGATGCCAGGCCTGGAAGGCTGGGACGACTGTGGTGCCTGGAGGGGATGGCAGCAGCTGGGTTAGAGAAACTGCGGTATCAGACTGACTGGTGTCCTCTGCTGCCAATTAAATACGAGAGCATGGAAGGAGAATCAAGCCGTCTCCTTGCCTCCTCTGCTATATTTCTACCCACTTCACCTCTTATAATCTGGTCTCTGATCCCAGCACCCTACTGAAACTAACCTCTGGGATTTCCATAGCCGGGAGGCCTCATCTCCATGATGATATTTATGCAGCATCGGACACCACTGACAAGCCTGGGAGTTGGGAAACTTCCTTTTTCCCTTGGCTTCCTCTCAGCTCTTCTTCTACCTTCTTAACTACAACTTCACAGCCTCTTTCACAATTCTTACCAATTCTTTTCAATTCTATCTCAGAAATTTCTTTTACATTAGACTCTTCATGCTCATTGCTACTGCCTTAGTTCAGGCCTTTGTTCTCTCCCCGAGGTTTCTGAAAGTCTTACCTGGTCTTCCTGCCCCCATCTCTGCACTCCCATCCATCTTCCATGCTGCACCCAGAGTTACTTTTCCAAAACAAATATGTGATCACATTATTTTCCTCCTTATAAACCTCCACTGATGGACTTCCCACTCAGAATAATATAAAATTCAAACTTTACATGTTAGATTCTTCACTATCTTGTTCCACCTTACCTCTCTAGTTTTCTTTTTCACCTCTTGACTCTACCCATTCTAATTCACCCTGAATTTCTCACTGTTCCCTGCATATACTATATGCTACGATGCTGTGCCTGGACCCCACTTCCCGACCTTTTCTATCTGGAAAGTCCTTTTCTTCCTCCAAGACCCACCTGAATTGTCATCTGCTAAGGAATGTCCTCCTCAGCTTCCCTAAGCAGAAAGAGTTCTTCATTTTCTGAGTGCCTATGGCACTGTGATCAAGCACTCTTATAATACATGCCATCCAAGATTGTAATTTACCTGTTTGTCTGATTTCTCATTTACTCATGAGCACCTCAAAGACAGAGCCAACTGTTTTACTAATTAGTAAAAACCCCTGGGCCCAGCACAGTACCTTGCACATGGCATGGCTTTCTCTCAAAATATGTTGGTTGAATCAAACATAGCCCTTTCATAAAATAGGGAAAAGAGAATCTTTAGTTCTAACAGTGTAAATGTTTAAGCATAAAATAAGAAAACAAATGAGACTGTTTTGCAAAACCTCAGGCTCTACTGTGAAGAGAACAGAACGGCCTATCGCTCACCGCTGAATATCCTTGTTCTTCCACAAGGAGGCAGACTGAGCCTTGGGCACTCTCTCAATGAAATTCACCAGCTCTTCCATGAGAAGCCTGGATTTAAACAAAAAAAGTGAAGAACGCTCATGAGAGGAACAGAAAAATACCACACACTGTAGCCAAGAGAAATAGGCTTGCCCACCTTCCGCTGCCCAATCACCTTTCTCTCCGTTGCACATAAACTTGGGCACCATTTCACATAAGGCAGAACAAAGGCCTAGCCTTCTCATTGAATTTCCATGCTCAAAATTCTGAATGTAAATGATTTAATTCACCTTTAAAACAAGTCTGGCACATTTCTTGTCTCTAAACACTGAAATATATAAGCCTATGGTTTAACTCTCTCTTTTAAGATCTCTGCCTTTATGTAACTAAAAATACAAAAAGAGAAAAAGTTAAATGACTGTGAAGTACCTGATTTTGGTGGCAGCTGGGATGGGGGTAGGATTGTTTTTTTTTAATGACGATATTAAATGTACGTTTCAAACTGGTAAAATAAGTTTTCGTGACACTGTTTTAGGAATTGACAAAATTCCATGTGGAAGAATACTCTAAGAACTAATCCTAAAAACCTATCAAGGACCTGTAAAAGGACAGACTCTGCAGATCACCAGATGGATTACCACCGAGTCACAAGCGAGGGGATCTAAGAAATGCCTCACTCAAGTAGATCAATGATCCACAAGCTCTGAGGAAGACATGGTACAGAGAACTGTTAGAATCCTGAACAGCTAGAGGATGACCAAAAAGCTAGAAACAGATTTTCAACATTTTTGAATCCCCCTTTATAACCCAGTATAGATGATCCATATTGACCTAAATCCTCTCCCAATCAAAATATAGATATGGCAAGCAATAAATTTATTAGCATTTTAATGCTGAACAAAACTTCATTTCATTTCCATTTATTTATTTATTTATTCCTAATACCATCTCCTCCTTTCATGTTGAAGGAGCAGTACTAGTTCCAGCATTTGAAGATCTGGGATCCAGGCTCATTATCGTTCTGGCTGTCGCTTTCAGGAGACCAGTCTGGTGTGCCCATCTTTACACTTCAACTTTTTCAGACTAGAGTCTAATGTTTTCAGCTTATTCTCCCATTGAAACTGATCCATCATCCTTTTTTTCTTTGCTGAGGAAGATTTGCCCTGAGCTAACATCTGTTGCTAATCTTCCTCTTTTTGCTTGAGGAAGATTTGTCCTGAGCTAACATCTATGCCAATCTTCCTCTATTTTGTATGTGGGTCACTGCCACAGCATGGCCACCAACAAGTGGTGAAGCTCCACGCCTGGGAACCAAACATGGGCCACAAAAGTGAAGCACATTGAACTTAACCCCTAGGACACAGACTGGTCCCTGATCCATCATCTTGAGTGTTTTACTTTTCTATAATGTCTCTTCCTCAGATCCCTTATGTTTTTCTGGATATACTGCAGGTAATGTGATTTGACACAAAAACAAAGACCAATTTTGTTTCACTTCTAGTAATTCTATCTTGTTGGACTTCTGCAAGACACTAGAACCCAAAGCTCAGAGTCTATATTCGACATCTAGATCTCATATTTTGGGTCTAGATAGTTTCACCTTATACCATACTTGTTAATTTGCTTCAACACAATTCTGTTTTCTGGGGTAATTTTCTTCACATAATTTTTTTCTAACTATGCTTCAGTTACTTGCAGTAACCAACTGGATCACGACGGCTTGGAAGGTGCAGAGGAAGAGACAGCGGGACATTCCAAGTCAAAGGAAGGCTCTGAGAATTTTACTCCTTGGAGTCCTGAGTTGTACTCTGTCAACAGTACAGACAACTTAAACATCTAATTACTTATTCTGTTTTCTACAAGCTGTGTCCATTTACAGTCTGCACTAAACCACAAAAGGGGGGGAAATTTTGAAAGCAAAGTAATAAAATTTCTACTTTTTTTCTTAAATATGTTCTTTTCTCCTGAAGCTCTTTGCATTGCATCTTTGTGGCATCTTACTAAATGTTACCTCCCCTAATTAGTATCATCTACATAGAGGAGTTGTCTCTATGAACTCCTTCTTCTAGTTTTTGTAAAAAAAAAAAAAAGGCAAAAGAAAAGACTAATGAGGAATTCTCACAGCATCAATCTGTAGGCAATTCCAGTGAATATTTGTTTTATCTAGAGTTGTCTATTCATGCCTATTCTTTGGGTCAGCTGCTCAGAAAGAAATAGCAATCAGTCTTGGCACAACTCTATTATATAGGTACCACTGAACGTAGTTCTTCAGCCACATCCTAATGGGATGAGAATAAATGTGCTCACCTGCCGATCTGAACGGTGGGCTCTGTGGCATACACCGTGCCTGTGAATCCGGTGTGCTCAGTGATGTAGGGCAGTGCCATCATGCAGTGATAGTTAGAGATGAGGATCACATCTACCGTAGACAGATCTATTAGCTCGGTCTGCAAAGAAGAGGGAGGGAATGATACATATCTGTTTAGGGCACATAGATCAACATGATGTGACTGAAAAATGATGTTGTCAGGATGAAGAGAAATAGTCTTTGTACCAGAGAATAATGATGCCTTTCCTGCAATACTTCTATTTTCTCATTTTAGGATATTCCCTCATATTGACATTAAATAGCAGGACAGGATGGCGAACACCAAGAATGTAGCCAGTCCACCAGCAGTGCTCTGATTTTACCAAAACAGAGTTCTGAGTCAGACATGAGGACAAATGACAACAGGACACTTCAGCAGCTGTTGCCTTGCAAGTGAACCAGGTAACACGAAGCAGAGAGAGCACAATACAAGCTGCAAGTGGAACCAGAAGGCAATGCGTCGCTGCTATGGGTTACTGGGAAAGGAGAGTGCAGCAAACAGAAACCAGCTCTTCAAAAGCCAAATGTGGGAGGCAACTTTTTTTTGGAGGTAACTTTTGAAGACTTGTGCTGGATACGGAGCCCCAAAAAATGTAGTGGCAGAGTCATAAAAGGAAATTATACTCTCATATTCTACCCTAATCTAAACCCTAAATCTACCCTTTACTCCATTATAAAGGTCATGTGAAAAGGGAAAAGATAGGCTGGCACATGAGGGAAAATGCTACCCATGTTTAGTAAATTTTATGAAAACTCTTTTAGTAGAAGGGAAAGTTTTCCCCATAAATTTAAGTCCTACCTTTCTTTTAAGGCTAAAGTCTCTTCTTCTACTAAGCTTTCCTGATTTGCCCAGATGAAAGAAACCACTTCTTCCTCAGGATTCCCAAGGTACTTTGTGTATATGTCTCTTACGGCAGTTATCATTCTGTACAGTGGCACCTCAAAGTATCACCTTGTCCCTCAAAGGTTACATGTCTCTGAGGTTAAGAATCCTGTGTGACTCATCTCTGTCCCCTTCTAGCTGTGGCAGCCAGTACGTGACAGGCCTTGGTGCACTGTTGTTGGAGGAATGCATCATTATAAGCAGCACCCTCTGTGGGGAAAAGTGAGACACCATGGTTCAGAGACATCATTCAGTCAGTGAGTTCTCCCTCATGGAAGTTACCCCTGGGAAACTGCATGGTGCACTAACGACAGCATGGAGTAAGTCACGGAAGCGTTTCAGGAGAATGAGTCGTTGAGCTAATATGTCCCCCACAGAGAAGTAACAAAGATGTCTGTGTCCTCTTTGCAAATGATAGGGACAGTGTGCCATTCTGGATGTGGTATTTTCTGGCTGAAGAACTTTACATACAAAATAAGTTAATTTACTAACGCTGCCAAGGCATAATCAGCTTCTGAGAAGAGCATGCCGATTAGAGGTCAGAAGCCACTCACTGCCATGGCAATGGCAATCTGTGTGAATAAAATGCCTAACGACAATAATATCCAATTTACACCACCTTTAACTCCATGTTGTGCACTGTAGCTCCAATACATGGTCCTCATAATGAGGGGTCATGTAACATTCTGCTGGTCCTATTCCCCACTACCTCTCTAGAACCATTTTTAAACAAATAAGGAATTAGAGTGACAGATCCAGAAGAAAACAAGGGAATGACAGCTGAAGCATCAATAAAGCTCAAAAGCATCCCTCCACCTTCCCTCTCACATACAGAAACTAGGTGAGGCTATTTGAAATTTCTCTTCAACATATAAGAATAAGCGCACAGAGTCTACAATGATGAGAAATTTCATGAGAACAGCTAGAAGAAAAAAAATATATGTCTGTTTATATATATATCAAGAGTGTTTACATAAACATTTTTCCTCTGAGAAATAAAGTTACCATCCAAACCACATATATATACTCATATTTATATATTTATTCACATACTTTCACTCAATGAAATCCAATACAGATTATTTTAATTTTAAACTTGTTGTATTCAGACACTTGGGTTCTGCACACCATGAATTGAGTCAAAACAACCATAATTTATTGGTTATACTGTCCTACACCTCACACAAAGATATTTAAGGTAGTTGCACTAGATTATAAATTCTACGAGGACTGGGATTAGGTCTGTCTGGCTCACCCACAAGTCAGCCAAGACTGGACTGCAGAAAGTACCTCTCTACTAATTTTCCGATTCTCCTATTTTCTCCCCATCATACGATGCCCTCACTCTATTACTTAGAATAGCGACTACTACTAACTTGACATAAACTACAAATTATGACACAAGTTGAAAAACCTTACATGGTTCTAGAATCCAACAATCCTTTAGCTTGGCAAAAGGTGAACTGTGAAACAGAAACTGTCTAATTTCAAAGTTTAGTACTCTATGGAGCGAGTCAGAAAGTCACCAGAACACCAAATCATAAATTCTACATCGCTGTCCATAAACTGAAGGTTGCTGCAGTCAGTGCCATATGTAGTAAGTGAAAATAAATGCAGCATCTGGGATTAAGAATCTTTGAACAGATGGGGAACTGCCCCACCAATTCCTAAATGACACATGAAGATGCCAAAAAGATTTTAGTAGCAGTTAGGCAGAGCTCCGGAATCTTGGTAACTCTCTACCTTCACCCTTGTTCTGAGTACTTTATCTCAACTTTCTCCCTTATCTGCCACCTTCGATTACCAAGTCCTTCTTTCTCTTCCTTCCTCTCTTTTGCTCTGGTACCCTAAAAGGGCACATATACATACAAAGAGAGAAAAAAGGGTATCAAAGAAAGTGTTGAAATGGAAAGAGAAGACAAAAATAAGGGAAACAGCAATCTAAATTTCCTTTTCTCTTCGGCACTGAATTGTGAAAGTATTTTCTGTAGGCACCGTAATCTACTGGGCACATGGAGAGAACAGGAGGGTAGCTTCGCAACGATTTCCTCAGGAACCCTGACTAACTACTAGCTTCCTACACTTTATCTTCTGCTGAGATCTCCATGTAGGCCACTGTGAGTATTAGGCCTGCCAGCTGAGATTAGGTTCCCTTAAAACTAAGGGAAACTGAGCTTCATTTCCTTTAAAACGATGAAACTGGCCCCAAATTCTTACAAGTCTCACTGTGATAATAACATGCAAGCAAAAGACATTCATGACTGGGTTCAGAATCCATAAATTTCAAGCAATATTCAATACGGCATTTCAAGTCAACAAGAATTTTTACAGTTGACTGCACTGGTTGAATAACAGCAATTCCCAGTTACCTACTATAAGCAAGACTAGGAAAAGTATGGCTAATCTAACACAGGCATTATATGACAAAACTGAAAGGCGTGAGTTATTTCTTCACCTTGCTCAAAACTACGCCCTAGTACAAGTGTCAGTAGAGATTACAGAAAGAGCTAGAACAGGAAGAAGAGAGTGACTTAAATGATTTACAGACAATATAAAGAGCTCCTAAATGATCATATTTTAGCTGCATAACAATGTACCTGAAACAACAGATTCATTTCCATTTGAAAACAGAAAAGCTAAGCCCCTTAAAATTATTTCTTGACTTCACTTTGAGAGATGACGACACATGCTTTGTTTCTATAAGATTCATTTTAATCTTACCTCTGGCAAGCAGAATTCAGGCACAGAATCTACAAATACATGACCCGAGCACTCCTTTAGCTCCTAAAAGAGATGAAATGAAAAAACTCTTGGAAGAGATATCCAACAGACACAGCACCAAAGAAATTTCATTCCCAGACCAAACTTTCCATGAAGAATCACACACCACTAGAGCTGGAGGGAAGCTGGGTTATTTAGGCCAACTCTTCCCTGTTTAGGCTCAGGGAGGCTAAGCGTCTTTCCAGGATAAAAAACACTGGTTTGTGGCTGACTCAGGACTTGAATGCACATTTCTTGATGACTCTTCATGGACGCCATGCGTAGACACATGCTGCTTCCGTAACTCACGATCCAATGCTTTCCAGATAATGGTTACGTAGTCCATACCAGCAACACCAGAATGATTTGCGAATACTGATGGAAGTGAAAATTCCTAGGCCCTACCAAAGCCCTAAAGGGTCAGAAACTCTAGGGATGAGGCTGTAGAACCTGGATTTATAACAAGCACCTCCAGTGACTTTGCTACGCAATCAGGTTAGGAGTCTTGGCCCTAGACTGGGACTCAGAACCTCTTTCTCCTCCTACCAAGAGTCAAGGGGCAAGGGACAAATGAGGAGGGAGATGAAGAGCAGAGGCTAGAGCTTAAAGAACCACCACCACCTCCGCGAATACATCTTTGTTCTTGAAGAGCACACAATTTATTTGGGATTATAAACCAAATGCATTCATTCAAAAGAAAAAGTATACTAATAAAGAAAGAATATAGTACAACTCCTCACTCCACCCATGACCTACCATATTTAATATGCCTGTCTTAGTTTGGATTCCCTCACAAACAGACCCTGAGAAAAGGTGGGTGCAAGCTTTTATGGGAGGTGCTGAAAAAAACAGCAGGAGGATGGGCAAGTGATAAAGGGAAAGGAAGGTGGCTGATAATGGCCATGTTATTGAGTTACATACCACTGTGGGCAACTGGGACTTACTCCCATGGGAAAGCTCTGAGAAATGGTATAAAACATACACCTTGGAGTTATTCTACCCAGGGCCAAGGGACCTGGGATATTAATATAGTAACTCCTGCATTCTGCGCAGCTTCAGGAAGAAGCTCTCAGGCCAAGCCATACAGGTATTGGCAGCTGGAGTTATGACAGGGCACACTGAAGAGATATGAGCGGGCCACCAATAGGGTTTGCTACAATGCCTCTAGAGGCCACTAGAGTTGTTGTCTTCCCTCAATGACACTTTAATTTATTTTTTTAAATTTTATTTACTTATTCTTTTGAGGAAGATTAGCCTTGAGCTAACATCTGCCACCAGTCCTCCTCTTTTTGCTGAGGAAGACAGGCCCTGAGCTAACATCCGTGCCCATCTTCCTCTACTTTATATGTGGGATGCCTGCCACAGCACGGCTTGACAAGCAATGCATAGGTCTGCACACAGGATCCGAACCGGTGAACCCCGGGCTGCAGAAGTGGAACGTGTGAACTTAACTGCTGCACCACCAGGCCGGCCCCCGTCACTGACACTTTAAACTGAAATCTCTGGAGGATTTTTTGCTCTAACAAAGTTAAAGCTATGACTTTATAACAAAATCAGTAAAACACAGAACTTGGTTCATAGTTTGCTTTTTCCAGAAAGAGAAAAATACTGTTAGAGTTTTGTTCCATCATGTTTTCCTTAGTCATTGAATATCTATGTCTGTGGATTCATATCTATGTATATTTAGATATCAGAGCCTGAATGGTTTTACTCTCAATCTTATCTGAAAATACAGTAGTTACTATATATTATTTTCCTTTTGAACTTGTACAAGTCTCACAAAACCCTGACAGAATACTCCCCCCTCTTGCCTCCCACTGTAAATTTTGGTTCTTCTTCTTACGTCAGTACAGTTAACCAGCGAAAGGCTGAGCCAAGAAGAGACTGAAAACAGTTCTTAATTACAATCTACCTGCCAGCTCAAAGCAAATGAGCAATTATGTTTAATGGGAGAAGACTCCCAACTTCCTTAGGATGAGGTTAAAAATGATTAAAGACAAATCACGGGAAATTTCAAAGCTCTGCCTGGTCCTAAACTGGCTATATAGCCTTAGTTCCCCAAATGCTACCTATCAGGGCATGTCTACCTCACAGGACAAAGCCTCCTCTGAGGCTTTCCCTCTTCCTCGCCTGGAGAAGCATATTTGCCATTCCGCGCACTTACAATGTTGCTATTTTATTCACCACTCCCTTATAATGAAATGCTCCCACATACACATGCAAGTCATTTTGCTCACAATGCACCGGTAATGGGATGCTTCTGAGCCCTTCTCAGGGAACAATGATTTACAGCCAGAAGGAAAGTCAGGCTGAAATCAGGTGCACAGGTTCCCGAACGTCACATAATTTTACAGTTAGCTATGTGGGAAATCTGGTTTCAAATTATGCATTTGGCTTGCACTTGAGGTTGGGGTGCAGTTACAGGAATTAATTCCGTAAAAGAGCACCTCTTTATTTAACAGTATCTATTACAAGAAGGAAATGCCTTATTCAGATGAATCATTTTAAGGATCTTTAAACTTATTCAGTCTTTTAACTGTGAAACTTGGGAGAGGAAAAATGATTTATCGGACTAAGAAAGACATGGGTGAGCTTTACAGTTTTTAACCTTCCTTTACCTACGATTTTTTTTAGTATAAAATTTGACTAGATTATAGTTTTAACATTTTTTGTACCTTTGGTCTCTCATTTATAAGTTAACTGTCTAAATACTGATGTGAGGAAGGAATTACCGTGAAGATAATCTAAGGTCAAAAATATAATAGCTTTGAAAAAAAAATAATTGAAGCCACTTATTTTAGGTCTAGTTAGTCAGTGATTAAAGTCACAGTAACACCTCAAATACTAGATTCCTAGAACTGTGTTCTTTTTTCACAACCTATAAGATTGTCCATTCTAGGCTACCAGAAAAGGCTGGAATCACAGATGAGTCTGGAAGGTCCTCTACTCAAATTTACCTGAGAACACGCTTCCCTCCCACTCCCCCAAGAACACACTGCCCAGGAAGTTAAACATCCAGCTCCTCAGTCCATTCTCCACACTGCGGCCAAAGTGACCTGATCAGAGGGTAAGATGACATTGCCCTCCTGCAACCTTCTGTGGCCTCTCATCATCCAAAGAATAAGACCCAAACTTTCCACAAAGCCCTTCCTGATCTGACCCCTGACAGAAGCACTTTAACACTCACATATGTGATGATTTTAAAGTTAGCAAAAAAAAAAAGTTTACTCCTTCCATCATAGAGTCAGTGCAGCCTCAAAATGAAAAGAGCTGGATGGAATTCACTAATAAGCATCACCTTCGAAACTCTCATTGCAATTTCTAAAAATAACAGTTTCTTTTTGTGATCATAAAATGTATTTGCAGCAGAAGTTCTTAGATTTTTTACACATGCGAAAACTGGACTAGTGTCTGATCACTGAGATTCCCTAAAAGGCTCTAAAAACAATCATCACCAAGTACTGAAGATCCTACATTGATCTTGGGATTTTTCAGGGAGAATACATGGGGAAAAAAACGAATCCATCAGTCACATTACTATAGGCTGTGTAGGAGAGAAAGACATTTCCTCTACCCATTCTGGGTTCTTCTGGCCGGAGAACAAATTAAATTCACGAGACAGAATAACAGGAGAAAATTAAACAAAGCTTTATAACATGTATACATGGGAGATGCTCAGGCAACCTGAGCAACTCGCCAAAATGGCTGAAGCCACCACCTTAAATCCCACACTCAGGTAAAGACAAAGGAGGATGCTGGGGGTGGGGGAGTTGATTATGGGAGATTACCACACAAGTACAGTAAACAAGACTCAGGTTATTATGCAGACTTGAGTCCTTGCCTTCCACATTGATGAGAGTTTCCAGAGATAAGCTCATCCCCCCTTCTTCCTGTTATAGAGAGGGAGACACCTTTACAGACGATTTCCTTTACAATGTAAATGTCTCTTAACAAAGGGTAAGTAAATTCTACTTTTCAGAGTTTCTTTTCTGTCTGCAGTTTTTAAAAGTAACCAGCCCAAAATAATCCTCGTGCCAAAGAGACATATCTTGGGGTGGCCAATTCCAGTCCCCCACAGGTGTCTCCGGTATGACAAGAAGGCTTTCCACTGGTGTAGATACACTTCAGTTAATCATTACCTTGTCCAAGAAAGCATTTCCATCCTTTAGGGACCAGCCGGGAAGATTAGACAGCCTGGGACTGCAAAACAAAAGATTAAATTACCCTAAATAGATTATAATCCTCAGTTATTTCATGATGACTGTACTGTCTGCATAAGTTTAAAAACAGTTGGAAATTACTGGCAGGAATGCTCATCCAAAACACCAATCAAAAAGATGAAAAATAACCATGTTGTATCAAGCTTAAGAACTATGTGGCAATGGAACATTAAAAAGCCAAATAATTTAGCACTAAATTGGGAAAATTTTAAAAATGCTATGCAGAATAATAAAGGGAAAAAAGAAAGATGAGACACTACGGCATTTTACAGTTTTCCAGTTACTGCCCTCAACTTCACCTTGCTTGTTTGACAACAAGCCCGAGGGAGGGTGACTGCGAGCACTATATTATGAATGAGAAAACAGACTCAGAGGGGTCAGGTGCTCTGACGAGAACACTGAGCTGTCTATCAGCCAGAATCCCGCAAATAAAAATACCTGAACTCTAGGCAAGTCTGTATTCCAGATTCACTGCTTATAAATGGATTAGTCACTTGTCACCCATGGCTTGAGGTTCCAATTCTGGAAAATGAAGCTAGTTTTCCTGAGTGTTACAAAATGACACCATATCTAAGTGAATAATTTCTAGAAGGTGAGGTTAATTTCACATATATGTGACAATATAAAAGTCTAGATTCAGAAATCCTTCACTTCTGGTAATCCTAGGATTTAACTGTGTGCTATTAGTTGACCAGAAGAATTATACTGGAGGCTGAAAATGCAAATAACTCAGGAGAAAAAAAATACTGGTAAAAAGAAAAACTTAATGACCAAGGTAATGTGTGAAAAAAAGCACATGAGGAGAACAAGTTGGAGAGCAAAAGGATTTTAGCACTTCACCACAAAATTAGTCTGTGAAGTAAAAATTAAGGGCAAAGTATGGGGGTGCGATTAAAAGACTCCAATCGGAAAGCAAATTAATGTATAGTCCCTTATCCTCTTCCCAAAATAATTTTATCAAATTCTGACTTTGTAATTAGGTGACAGGTACAAAAGTGAAATAGAAACACAAATTTATTTTGTGAATATTTGTCAATCTTCTAGGAAAGGTTAAAAACCTTAATAAATATACATGCATCTAATTTTAGAAAAAAAGTGAGAATTTTTGAAGTAATTTTAATTTTGACATAATTCCAAACTTACAGAAAAGCTGTAAGAATATAGGTACAACAGAGTCCCACATACCGTATCTTTGCCTAGATTCTCCTGTTTACATTCTGCCTTTACTAATAAAAAAGTGAGAATTTTGGATTTCATACTTGAGAGTGAAATTTACTTTACAAGGAGAATCAAATTTGCTTGGTATAAGTTATACCAAATAAACTTTTTTTTTTAACTCTGGGATTTTTCTGTTCTAAACTCTCAGAAAAATATGCTATTAATAGTTAGCTGTTTAATTCCTATCTCATTTCATAGTCACATATATGTCTTCACTTATAGACTTCTTACTTCCTGAAAAATAAATTTACTATCAGATCAGATTAAAAAACGAAGCATTCTAAGGGCTGGCCCTGTGGCATAGTGGTTAAGTTTGGCACAGTCCACTTTGGTGGCCCAGGTTCGCAGGTTTGGATCCCAGGTACAGACCTACACCACTTATCAGCCATGCTCTGGTGGGGACCCATGTACAAAATAGAGAAAGAGTGGCATTAGATGTTAGCTCAGGGTTAATCTTCCTCACACAAAAAAAGAGGAAACTTGGCAACAGATGTTAGCTCAGGGTGAAATCTTCCTCAGCAAAAAAATAAATAAATAAATAAATAAAATCAAAAATTCTAAAAAAAAGTGTAATGACAAGACAATGTGAATTCTGTTCTCATTTCAGGCACGCTAACTCTCTAAATGAGGGTGTAAATATCCGCTTCCCTTTACAAAGAGAACTGATCAAAGGACATGCATCTGTGTGTTCCCCTTCACAAAATACTGGTAAAAAGGCTAAACAAATCAGCCTTCAAATTACAGATGACTGATGCAGTTAGTTGTCCTCAACAAATGATTAGAAATGGTGTACTGCTTTATCAGAGAATAATTGTTTTTTTAAAAAGTAAAAATTTCAGGTATTGTGGTTTTAACTTCTGCTAAACATTTTTTTATAACATCAAAGCCTTCTATGAAACACCCATAGTTATTTTGGATATGAGAAATAGCTAAGTAGATGGGACTGAACGCTCAAAGCACAGCATGACCATGCTATAACAACAGTGCCAAAGATGAAGGGCGACGGAAACGTGTAACCAAATGGCAAAGGAATGCTGACTATAGAGATGAAAATAATTGGTTACTGACTTCCAATGAGTTAATGACTAAGCAACAAAGAGTTAGTAAACTTTAAACTACCAAAGGGGAAGGGACTTACTACTTTGCTATTAACGATTATGAAATTTGTGTAAGTTTTTTAAACAAGGAAACATAAGTCTCTCCACAGACACCTACTTTAATAAAATATGGGAGGTGATGATATTAGAATTATGATTATAGATGAACATATCTTTACATCCACTATTTAACAATAATTTCTTAGAAAAAAAGGATGCCATTAAAAATGTTATAGTCAAGAAAAAACATATGTATACAAGATCTGTTTTTTTAGTATTTATTTTCTTTAAAAAATAGGTAAAATATTCCCATATATAAATAAATAAATAACCTAAGGCATTTAAAAGTAATCTACCACCTAGAAAAAACTGTGAAAGGTAGAATGAACAGGATATTCATTTTCTCTTTATACTTTTAATTTTTCCAGTTTCCTAGTTTGAAATGTATTACTTTTATAATCAGAAAATAATAATGAGGGGCTGGCCCACTGTTATAGTGGTCAAGTTTGCACACTCTGCTTCAGTGGCCTGGGGTTTCCCGGTTCAGATCCCGAGTGTGGACCCATGCCCTGTTTATCAAGCCATGCTGTGGGAGGCATTCCACATATAAAGTAGAGGAAGATGGGCACAGATGTTAGCTCAAGGCTGATCTTCCTCAGCAAAAGGAGGAGGATTTGTGGCAGGCGTTACCTCAGGGCTAATCTTCCTCAAAAAAAATTAATAACAACAATAATAATGAAAGAGACATAACTACATTCATTCATGCAAAAAATATTTATAGAAGCTGGCCTGGTGGTGTAGCAGTTAAATTTGTGCACTCCACTTCAGTGGCCTAGGGTTTGCAGGTTCACATCTTGGGCATGGACCTATGCACCACTCATCAAGCCATGCTGTGGTGGCATCCCACATACAAGGCAGAAGAAGATGGGCATAGATGTTAGCACAGGGACAATCTTCCTCAAGCAAAAAGAGGAAGACTGGCAATGGATGCTACCTCCTCACCAGAATAATAATAATAATAATAATAATAACAATAATATTAATATTAATATTTGTAAAAGCTTACTTTGAGCAAAGTATGCAAAGAATAGGGATATGACAGTAAATAAAATAATCCTTGCATTTTAGTTTGCATTCTAGTATAAGGAGATAATGAACATCAATTAAAACAGAATAGAATAAAACCTATGACAGAGGTAAGCAGAAGGTGTTATGGGTTTACACACAGAAAGGACACTTTTGACACTACACACTGTGCGGTGGTGTGGAAAGCAGGCAAGAGGAGTTATGAGTAAAGATGGAGGAGGTCTTTCCAGAAAGAGGGAACAGGGAACAGACTCATCATTTGGTGTAGTATTGTAGGAGAACGAGGAACTCATCCTTACTCATTCATTAATGAATTTTATTTACGTGTCAAGTACTCAGGTGCTGGTGATATGACTGTGAGCAAAACACATCTCTCCTCCTAAGGAGGTAGGGAAGACAGACACATCAAGCAGGCACACAAACAGAGAACAAGATGTTAAAAATGATGAAGCAGTATAGTACAAAGTACCAAGGGGGTGGGCGCTGTGGCCTAAGTTCGGTGTGCTCTGCTTCGGTGGCCTGGGTTTGGTTCCCAGGTGTGGACCTGCACCACTTGTCAGCGGCTATGCTGTGGCGGCGACCCACATACAAAATAGAGGAAGATTGGCACAGATGTTAGCTCAGGGTGAATCTTCCTCAGCGAAAAAAAAAAAAAGACTTCTCCGGTCTATGATGATTGAGTGGAGACCTGGACAGCAGTAGAGTCAAGGGAAAGCTCAAGGGGCAGGGTTTAGAGGGAATAAAGAAAGAAGACAGTGACAAGGCCCAGTACTTTCTTCCAGTCCTTCTCACCAGTCTCTGGCATAGACATCTTACATAAAAGTTTATTCAAACGAAATTTCAGTAAGAGTTCCATATACTCTCTCCCCCTCATCCAACTAGAATGTCATCTCTATTTGCTTCCTATATAGAAACTGGAGTGATACATGATCTGAGAGAGAAGCTCCTGCAAAGCAGGCTAAGGAAAGTAGGATGTGGGAGGGGGAGAAGAGCCTTCGTGGCTGAAGAAATAATTCGTGTGACTGCTCCCAAGCAGGAGATAAGATTTCTTCGAAATTGAAAGGAAACAAAGAGCAAGATACTAGAAGGGTAGGCATAATGTCTAATACACCAAGATGAACTTGGTATTTATCCTAAGAGCAATGAAAAACCACTGAAAGGTTTTAAACAGATAAGAGACAAGACCTGTACTTCTAAAAGATGATTTTGGAGAAAATTGACATCCTGTGGCTTCTGATAATACATACAATCATTTGTGCGGTATTCCTACCAAAAAACCCCCAACCTAATCATGAGGAAACATCCAACAAACCCAAATTGAAAGATGTTATATAAAATAATTAGCCTGTACTCCAAAAATGACAAGGTCACAAAAGACAGACTAAGAAACTCTTCCAGATTAAAGGAGACTAAAGACATGACAACTAAATGCAACGTGTGATCTGGAATGGATCCTGGACCAGTATCGTTATTTTTCTTTTTTGCTTTAAAAGGAATTATAGTGAAATATGAATTGGTGTAACTTTGGCAATATGAATAAAGCACGCACCTTAGATACAAGTATAGTATTAATGTAAGCTTCCTGATTTTGATTATTGTACTATGGTTATGTAAGACAATGTCCTTATTCTTAGAAAGTAAACACTCAAGTATTTTGATGGTACAGGAGTATGATGTCTGTATCTTTCAAACGGGTCAGAAAAAAATTATATGCATACATGTAAAGAGAAAATAATAAAGCAAATGTGATAAAATGTTAACTACTGGTAAGGGTAACTGGAAGTTGTTTGTACTATTCTTGCAATTTTTCTGTAAATCTGAAGTGACTTTTTCTTTTTTAAGGAAGATTAGCCCTAGCTAACACCTGCTGCCAATCCTCTGCGTTTTGCTGAGGAAGATTGGCCCTGAGCTAACATCTGTGCCCATCTTCCTCTACTTTATATGTGGGACGCCTGCCACAGCATGGCTTGATAAGTCGTGCTAGGTCCGCGCCTGGGATCCAAACCAGTGGACGCTGGGCCACCGAAGCAGAGCATGCAAACTTAACCACTACACCACTGGGCCGGCCCCTGAAGTGATTTTAATAAAAAGTTATACAAAAAATGACCCTGGATTCAGACAGGGGCAAGATCAGAATTGAAGAAACTGGTTAGGAGGCTTTAGCAGTAATACCTGTAAAAGATGATGATGAATACAGCACTGAAGTGACAGGATTCTAGAGGCATTTAGAAGGTAAAAACGACAAGGCTTAATAAAAGACTGAATGTGGGAAGCAGGGAAGAGGGGCATGACGAAGTTAACTCCCAATTTTATGGCTTTTCTAACAGGATGCCATTCACTAAGATAGGGTACTTGGGGGAAAACCAGTTCTGGGAGGGTCTGCGCTCCTCTTCTGCACCAAGTCTACTCATGAATTCAGCTTGAGGCACGATGAGTTCTGAAGTGCCTTCAAAGGCACATCCAAAGAGAGAAACTCAGTAGGCATTTTGGATATATGAATCCAGAACTCAGAAGAAAATTAACTGAAGATACACATTAGTAAGTTATTGTTTGGATGGTTATTGAAGCCCTGAGCATTTATTAAATTTCCTTGGTGGAGACTCTGAAGGCCAAGCACTGGATACTGAAGAATTCTGATATGTGAAGGCCATTAGAGGAAGATGACTCTCCAAAGTAAACAGAAGACGAAGAGTCAGAGAAGTAAGAGGAAAACCAGGAAAGCATGATCATGGTGGCAAGTGCTGCTGAAGGATGCATGATGATCGAAGTAGGGTTGGGACTGACAAATATGCATAACAGCTAATGAGATGGAAGTCATTTGTGACTTTGGTGAGAGGTGTTCTGGTGGGTGGTGTGGGCAAGCACAGATTGGAGGGAATTAGGAATGCTGAAGGGGAAAGTGGAGTTCAGAGAAGGTAAAAAAAAATTTTTTTAAGTTAGAAGCGACTGAGTATAATTTGGGAAGCAGTGAGTCAAGATGGAAAGGTTTGAGATAGAGGAAAGATTACAACTAATAATGCAATGACTCTGAGAAGGTAAGAAAGGTTAGAGTCCAGAGAAGATAAAGGGATTCATTCACATGACAATTATTTACTACACGCCAAGCTACATGCAGCTACCACACGCTAAGAACTATCTTAGGCACTGGGGATACAACGGAGAACAAAAAAATCCCTGCCCTTATAAAACATCCCTTAGTGGCGAAGACAGACAATATATAAAGAAATATTATATATAATGTAATGATAAGTGCTATGAAGAAAAATAAAGCAGGATTAGGGGACAGGAGGCACTGGGGATACTATTTCAACAGAGTCTATCTTCAAGGTTTCTGGCCTGAGCAAAAGACGACACTTTGTAACGAACTATATGGGCCCACTAGTATATATCATCCCACTACTATAACCTCCCTCTGAGAGAAAACAATGACAAAGGCAAGAGAGAGTGGAAGTGGATTCCAACGCTGAGCCAGGGCTGTGAGAATAGAGAATCAGGTAAAGACAAGAATGAGCAGGAAAGGGAAAACGTAGCCAGGACTGTCTGCCCAAGTCAGGTTCGAACACCTAGATAATTCAAGACCTCGCAGAGCCAAGTAGGCCATCTTTTAGAAACCCTCATAGTATCTTGTATTTTATTTTTTTTAGCAATTACCACAAGTATACAGCTGTTTTCTCAACACAAGTATAACGAAATCTTCAACTGTGTAATTCTCTCTCCCCTAACAGACTGTAAGCTCCACGAGGAAGGGGAAGCTTTCTTGTTCATGTCTGTATCCCTGGATCCAGTGCAGTGCAGATTCTTAATAAACACCAAAGAATGAACGTTTTAATCTTTGGGGGGAAACAGACAATAATATCAGGCTATTCTAATAAGAAACACCCTGTCAGTCATTTTTGTAGAGAAACACATACAATGCCTACAGTTACTTGTAAATATATATATATATGGATGGTAAATCTATTTCTAGGTGCTGGGTGTGATTACAACTGAATTTTATTAGCTTTGCATAAATTATAAGCTGCAATTATCTCTGACTTTATCCCCATCACCTTATTGTATCCTTTATCTCAGAAAAAAATCAATGGTTGATTTTTTTTTTTAAAGATTGGCACCTGAGCTAACATCTGTTACCAATCTTTTTTCTTCTACTTCTCCCCAAAGTCCCCCAGTACATAGTTCTATATTCTAGTTGTAGGTCCTTCTGGTTGTGCTATGTGGGACGCTGCCTCAGCATGGCTTGATGAGTGGTGCTAGGTCCATGTCCAGGATCTGAACTGGCAAATCCCGGGCCGCTGAAGTGGAGCACACGAACTTAACCACTTGGCCGTGGGGCCGGCTCCTCAATGGTTGATTTTTAATTATACTTTTTCTAGATGGTTCACAGGGTTATCATTATGAAAAACCATCGCACACAGTGATGTTTTCAGCAGTGAAAGAAATACATTAGTTGGTTTACCTAGCTTGCTACACTTTCAAGCTCTTAAATCTACTTTAAATAGCTTTTCTGTCTCCCCTCTTGCACATGGTTATCACTTTTTGCTGTTGGGAGTATATTTGCTTCTAAAATTCACCCACTCTCTTATAAATTGCTGCTTCTAAATAACAGCAAGCTGGGAAAACCAATTTCCTAGACGAGGTCTTTATAACAGTAAACAGTCTGATTGTAGGCCTGGGGTGATCTAACTGCTTTAAGACACGGACTTTGGCTTCATATATGAGTCTATAATATCTACAGCTGACTAGTATGAAAATAATGCATAGATACCTACCAAAGAGAAATGTTGGGCTCTATGATGTCAAGTCCCTGCAAAGGCAGTTAAATGATTCTAAAATTGAATTCTTGGGCTCATCAGTTGACCATTTATCAGCTCTCATATGAATTAGCAAGAAAGATGAAATATATATGACCTCACTTGCACTGAGCAGTTGCAGGAACATTTTACAGAAGCTCACAAGAAGTTATAATAAAGAAGTCAATCAATAAATCAATACAACACTTTCCATCAACCTAGCCAAAGGAAATTATTTTGATGAAGAACATTTTTAAGGGAATAAAGTAAACTTAGGACAACACACAAGGTACCAGTAATCTTTATGCTAATGAATACCGTTTTTCAGCAAACAAAAGCTCATTTTGTCACAGATGCATCAGCACGTACCTTTGAACAAGTGGCAAAGGAAGGAAATTGAGGGTGGAAGTCATGTCCAGTCCACAGTCCAACATAATGGTGGTTGATTTGAATTTGAGCACATTGCATGGTAAGGTTGGGTGCCCCGACAGGCAATACTAAAAAAAATTAAATCATTTTTATCAATAATCAATTGCAGAAAAAGCCTAAAAAGTACAGTGAATTAAGTAAAACTGATCATCTTCTCTGATAAGAGCAGCATATAAATTGAGCTAACATTCTACGTGACTTCCTCCCTTTTATAGCTCTGGATACCACTTAGCCCAGCAGTTAAAATACTCCAAATTTCATGTCATACCCAATTTTTTGTAGGGTACCAAGTTATTTATTAGGTGAGCACAGTTTTGGAGAGTCCAAAGTTATTCTAAATAGAAGTGTTCCGGGCTATAGTTGTCTGCTCCACTCTCACATGACACTTGCAAATTTCCACTATCCCATCATACCCAAGTACTGCCCAAAGCTGTGGAAGTCAATTAAATTCTAAGCTGGATCCTCAAACTGTGCTATAGGTTAGGTTTTCTCTTCCTATAAACGAGTCAAGTGACTTTCCTCAAAGATGAAATGGTTGGGAAGGGTTAACAACAAACATTGGAAGGGGTTATGGCTCAGCCTTGTCAGAAGAAATGACTCAAAAGGACAAGTGACTTCCCTGATGTGCAATACAAAGCAGGAGTGAGGGACACGTACTCCCCACCAATCAAGAATCTCTTGCCTGCAGCAGCGGGCCTCAGAAGTCAAAGGGGCACAAGCCACAATGGCGCATTAAAAGGAGAGTGATGAGGCAAGACAATACACTGACCTCGAACATTGCTCATGTCGTCCTCAGTATTGTGGGGATGACAGATACGTTACACTGAAAATTATTTATATGGGATGTATCCTGTCACCTTTCATAATTCTATTGCTGTTTTGAAGAAAAGAAATGAAAGAAGAGAGAAAAGAGCTTTTCTCCCACTTAAAGTCATTTTGTAGAAGCTTCCTGTGAACAGCAAAGCCCAGAAAATAGAGGGATCAATGTTCTGAATCCCTCAGCAAGTACATTGTTTCTTTCTGATTTAAGGACAGGTCCAGCACAACTCAGGGTAATGCGACATCAATGCCTGGCTCCACACGGCCATGGTAGCTCGGGCTGTCTTTTCAGGTATTTGTTGCACTGTAGGTTCTGTCACTGAATAAATTTCCTACTTTTTTCCAGAGGACATTACAGGGACTGATGATTTTTTAAAACAGCATGTTCTAAAAATGATAAGGCCAAGAGCCAAGAAACTGTGGGTATTTTGCAAGCTGCTTCTTTATTCCAAATTTATGTATGAGGATTCTATTTTCCTAACCAAAATTCAAGACTCATGGTCTGGGCCAGCCTCGGTGGCCTAGTTGTTTGGCGCACTCCACTTTGGCAGACTGGGGTGGGCTCCCAGGTGCAGACCTACACCACTCATAAGCGGTCATGCTGTGGCAGCAGCTGAATACAAAAAATAGAGGAAGATTGGCAACAGATATTAGCTCAGGGCAAATCTTCATCAGCAAACAAACAAACAAAATAACTCACGGTCTGAATGTATACAAGGTTACTTATGATGAAAACAGTACAAATTATTAAAATTGTAATTGTCCTACAAAAGTCCAGGAAGCATGATTTGGGTAATTATACTTTACATAAGTTCATTCTTTGATAGGTATCAGAAATACAGAAGAAATCTTCCTACCAATTAAGGCAGAGATATCCCTACCCCGTCCTCCATCTGGCTCCCTATTGCTAGCTTGGTCCCCATCTAAGAATTATTTGTTAAAGATAAACTATCTCAAACGAACAGAAAGCATCATGTTAAACTTACCCCAAACAAATGTTCTAATAAGAGATTTCCTATATTTCTCCTTTAAAACAAATCAGATATTCAGAAAAAAAACTTAAAAAAAGAGAAATGTACATAATGGCTATTTCTGGGTGGAAAGATTATGATGTAATTTACTTCTTTCAGCTTTCTATATTTTTCAAATGTATGACAATGAGCATTTACTAGATTTTTATAATTAGAAAAAACATATGATTAAAACAAAACTGAAAATCTAGCCAGCCACACTGAATGACAAAATCTTTACCTTTGTCTTTAACACTAAACTATGGATAACAAGTTACACCAGAAGACAGAAGATGGACGTGTAAAAGCTGCTACTCAAAAGATTTCAGGCCAAAGAAGTTAGCTGAAAGAATTTACATTTGCTCCTGTCATCCAAGGATAAAGGTGAGGGACGCTTTATAAGGGCCATAACTGAATGGAAGAAATGGTTTCAGAGCATCATGTAAGAGTGGCAGACCTTGATCTCACTAGCTCCATGTTTATGGATGAGGAAATTGAGCTTCATACAGTTTGAGAGGCTTGTCTGAGAAAAGCCAGACACATAGCAAGGTCCCCTGTCTCCAAAGATCCCGCTCAGGCTTCCCAAATTGCACCACTCACTTTGTGAGTTAATTGTCTGTTGAGGCACGGAGTGACCGGTTGAGGTTCACACAACTAGCAAATGAGGCACCTGCAAGGTTCCTGAAGTTTGCCTGTCCCCAGGGTCGCTCTTTGGATGTTTCTAACATGCTGCCTGCAATCGGCAAGCAGATTATAATCTAGTGAGGGGTATGAAAACACTAAATAATAATGTGATTTTAATTTTAAAATTAGAAATAAATCTATATTACAAAACATTCAAAAAATAGCAGAAAGAAAATATGACCCACAATCATTTTTCTATTCTTTTTGCATAATTTGTAAAAGCTGTAATTTTAGCGCACATACCACTCTGTATGCTGCTTTTAAAACACATGACTATGTTTTCTTTGTCTATGTTGCATTATACTTCATTTTATTGGCTGCCTAAGTAAACACACCATCGCTCGTTTAATCATTCCCTTACTGGTGAAGGGCTGCTTCCAGGGGCTCTATTACAAACATGGCTATGTTGATCACTGCAGTGCTTAAGGCTTTTTCCACATTGGACTATTTCTTTAGAGGATTCCCAGAATGGTATTAAATAGGTCAAAAAATACGAGCATTTTATAGCTCTTGAAATATGCTGCCAAAATGCTTTCCAAAAAAGGTTGTACCTATTTACAGTGTCGTCAGTAATGTATCAGATCTGTTTCACCGCTTATTCCCATCAGCATTATGATCAAAACAATCTAGAATCTATACCAAAATGCAGCAGTAATATTAGTAGTAGCTATCTGGCAGCAACCAAATGGTCCTAAACAGGAAAGTCAACTACTTGATAAATAGCTTTAATTTTGAAACTCAGTTTGGAGAAATGATTTAAAGCAAGGGGTTTGAAGTAAGACTGCCTGGCCTCAAATTCTGGTTATGCTCATTATTAATGTGTGATTTGGGAAAAGTTACTTAACTTCACAAAAACTCAGTTTCCTTATCTGTAAGATGTGGTAATAGAAGCTAGCCTCCAAAGCTGTGAGGACTAAATGAATGGATACAGCCCCTGACACATGGCATGCGCTCACTGTTCATTTGCTATAGTTATAAAATCATTGAGGGGCTGAAGAGGCCACCTAAATTTGGGGGCAATCGTTTACAGCATTTTAGGGAAGAAATTCTATTCTACAGTAGCATTCACTAACGTCTTAGACATTTGTGTCTCACAAGACTAGGTAAAGCGAATGAACAATTTTACAAATATTGTCTATTGCTATGGCGTTTGCCTTCCAGGAAGTTAGACTCACTAGCAAGTACAGAAGTGAATGTTCTAGCCAACAGGTTTAAAAATTTTTTTCCTAGCTTAACAAGCACATAGTAATGCTTTCATGTTAATCTTATTTCTACTTAACAAAGCTGCAGGCTTTTTCTGTGTGATGATTTACCATCTATATTTTCTCGTGTGCCTGCTGATCTCTTTTTTCCACTGAATGAATGGAATCTGGTTTCAGAAGTTACATGTTTAACATATATAAGCATTCTTTATATTTTTTGGATAAAAATTTTATCAGTTATAATTAGTACATATCTTTCCCATTCTGCTACTTTCATTAAAAAAATTTTATTATGGAAAATTTCAAACATAAAAGCAAAATTACCATAATAAACTCCCATTACTTAGGTTTAACAACTACCCATATTTTACTTTTCTTTGCTGCTTTCCTTTTGATACTGACATACTTCTGCAGTATAGCTATTATGGTGACAAACATATCTGATCTCTGAAAATACCGTTTGCGCAAATAGTCCTACATTGATCTCTTATCCACAGTGGATTTTGTCCACTGGTCTTTTTTGGTTATGTTTTTTATTTTCACCCCCAATGGTGTAAAGTTTATACTTTGTAATGCTTTCAAATAATTTAGAGCGACTAGACTTCAATTCTTAAAAAAACATTTTTCCAAGGATGTAAATGGAGACTACATTTAATATATATATTTATTTAGGGAATGTGCCATTTTTACTATACAATAACATTTCTCTGAGAAGCAATGCACTGCTTTCTTTTCTATTAATTTTTTTTCCCTTTACAGTTTAAAATATTTTATTCCTTTAGTTCATAACCAACTATTCAATTATTAGTAACATAAATATATCTTTGCTTTCCAATTTCTATTTAATTTCTGTTCTCAGTTCTATTGTTCTATTTTAAGCTTTATCTGTTATGATTTTTAAAATTTCTGCCGTTGGATGTGTAGCTGATTAAAAGAGGCATTCAGGCTACAAAGAGTCCTCTAAATGATGCTCTCAATGCATTTTACAAGTTTATATTGTGTTTTCAACTTATCCATTTCTAAATACTACGTAATTTTCACTGTGATTTCTTCTTTGCGACACAAACTACTCAGAAGTATGAGTGTGTTGTGTGGTGTGTGTGCGCGTGTGTTTGGTTCAACTGCCAAATATACAGGTGGTAATGATCACCTTTTGGTTATTGATTTCTTAATTTTATTGTGGTCAGAGAATAGAATTTTGACATTAATTTTTGGATATTTACTGAAACTTGCTTTGTGACCACGTATACTGTAAACAGTTGATTTTTAAAAAATGATCTAGTGTCCACGAAAATTGAAAATATATCACCTAATTGTTGCATACAGAGTATGTTGAGTTATTTAAATCTCCTA